GCAGGAATAGATTGGTAGGCTGAAGCACTCAGTGCTAAAGCTCCTACAGTAAGTTATGATGAGATTCCTGTGTTTCACCTGAGGCCAGACTTATTCTGGCCCTCTGGATAAAATATCCCCTCCACATATGTGATCCAAATTTGTTGGAAGGGCCGCTTGTTGCTTGTTATGCTCCCATTAGAGGTTGGAGTACATTACCTGTAGTCTGGGATTGAAATCTTTGATTTTGTTTACTCCGAAAAGAATCTGGTTTGCATGCGCTGAAAATGCTCTGCAAACCTGAGTAAGTGGGCATGATAATGAGATTTTCTTCAAAATCATGCACCAAAACACGAGGTGTGGCAAAGTCCGTCCTAACTGTTGCACAAAGACTTACATCTGATGAACAGTGGTCATAAATGGGACAACTCGTGCTGCAGGTTGAGGGGGAAAAAGGCAGTTTTTCGTGCACTCCATGCAAATACTGATACATATTTGATTCAGCTACTAGTTCTTTTGCTTCTGAGTGAAGGTCACCAGAACCATCAAAAATAATTTTCCCATCCTTTAAATTTCCCATCCTTTAGATTTCCCATCCTCTAAAGCACTGAGACTTGTTTCTGAGAGTTGGGTCATTCCTTCCACTACTTCAGTAATAGCGTCTTCCGAAGAGTAGTACCTTGGCCCTTGGGGTGCCAGCAGTACACTGTGGCAACTGCAAGAACGGCTTTTTGGAGACATCACTCAGCTTCTGGCAGTCCTCTGCAGAAGTCAGAGGAAGCTTTGAGGATGTTGTGGTTTAACCCTGGCAGGCAACTAAGCAACACAGCTGCTTACTCCCACCCCCCTACGCTGATGGGATGGGGGAAGAATTGGAAGGGTGAAAGTGAGAAAGAAGCTCATGGGTTGAGATAAAACCAGTTTAATAATTAAAAAAAGAGATAATAGTAATTTAAAAAAATGTAATGAAAAGAGGAAAAAAGTAGCAAAGAGAGGAAAGTAAACCCCAAGAAAGACAAGTGATGCAAATGAAAACAGTTGCTCACCACAACCAACCAATGCCCAGCCCTTCCCCGAGCAGCGATCCCCCCACCAACCTCTTACCCCCAGTTTCCTGGCTGAGCATGACGCCATACAGTATGGGATATCCCTTTGGTCAGTTGGGGTCAGCTGGTGTGGCTGTGTCCCCTCCCAACTTCTTGTGCACCCCCAGCCTACTCGCTGGTGGGGTGGGGTGAGAAGCAGAAAAGCCTTGACTCTGTGTGAGCACTGCTCAACAGTAATGAAACCATCCCTGTGTTATCAGCACTGTTTCGACACAAATCCAAAACATGGCCCCATACCAGCTACCACGAAGAAATTAAACTGGCCCAGCCAAAACCAGTACAAATAAACAGCATCAAGTCAGGCTTTGCCCATGTGAAGTACATAGGTGTATGTGAATACATCTTTTGCCGAAATCTGTAAAGGTTATTGACCTTTTAGGAAGCAGATGATGTTGATGATGGTTGGCAATGGAAACTGTAATTTCCTGAGAAACAATGATCTTTCTTTTCACTTGATTTTTTTTTTTTGCATATAAGTTAATTGTCAATGTGGGGCCGCTGCTGAATGAGGCGGGTGTCCTGGTGACGGAGGATGCGGAGAAGGCAGAGCTACTGAATGCCTTCTTTGCTTCACTCTTCAGTGCCAAGGCAGGCCCTCAGGAATCCCAGGCCCCGGCGGCAAGACAGGAAGCCTACAAAGAGGATGACTTTCCCTTGGTTGAGGAGGACTGTGTGAGGGATCGCTTAAGTGATCTGGATGTCCACAAATCCATGGGCCCCGATGGAATGCACCCACGAGTGCTGAGGGAGCTGGCGGATGTCATTGCTGAGCCACTCTCCATCATCTTTGAGAGGTCCTGGAGGACAGAAAAGGTGCCCGAGGACTGGAGAAAGGCCAATGTCACGCCAATCTTCAAAAAGGGCAAGAAGGAGGACCCAGGGAACTACAGGCCGGTCAGCCTCACCTCCATCCCGGGAAAGGTGATGGAGCAGCTTATCCTGGAGGCCATCAGAGGACCCAGGGAAGTACAGGCCGGTCAGCCTCACCTCCATCCCGGGAAAGGTGATGGAGCAGCTGAGCCTGGAGGTCATCAACAAGCAAGTGGAGGAAAAGAAGGTTATCAGGAGTAGTCAGCACGGGTTCACCAAAGAGAAATCATGCCTGACCAATCTGATAGCTTTCTACGATGACATGACTGGCTGGGTAGATGAAGGGAGAGCTGTGGATGTTATCTACCTTGACTTCAGCAAGGCTTTCGACACAGTCTCCCATGATATCCTCCT